CTGCAGGAAGGCTACCTGGGCTGTGGCCCTGCGACCCAAGGACAGAGATGCTTTGGTGTCCCCAGAGCTTCTTGTGCTCCCAGGATCCTGCATCCACTCCCTAGAGTAGGATTCTGGCCTTCCTAGTTAGGTCCTGGCACAAGCCAGCCACCTTGATTCCCAAACCTGATGGTCCTGAGGAGAAACTTTGTTCCATATGCCACCCAACCGAAAAGCGTTTGTGTACTTGATGAGCACTGAACACTGAGTTTTGCAGTGGAGAAATAAAGCAGTTTATTGACAGGGCACCATGCCAGAACGGAGAGCTAGCACTCAAAATCCAAACTCTCAGATGTGGCTGGTGTGCCTCAGTGGATTGCATGCTGGCCTGAGAACCAAAGGGTTGCCAGTTCGATTCCCAGTCAGGGCGCATGCCTGGGTTGTGGGCCAGGTCCCAAGTAGGGGGCACATGAGAGGCAACCACACTTTGATGTTTCTCTCTCTCCCTTTCTCCCTCCTTGCCCCTCTCTCTAAAAATAAATATTCTTTTTACAAAATCCAAACTCTCAGTTGGTTTTTAATCAAGGACTTTTAAAAGGCAGACATTGGGGATTAGGGGTTAGGGATCAAAGGTGAAGCTGATTGGATAGTTCTTGTGTAAGCCTCAGTGCTCTTCTTTGGTCTGATTAATTCTGTTCCTCACATCACCTTGTCTGTGCTTTCCTCACAGTGGTCAGCTGATCTAACTGGTCAAAGAACCAAGATTCAGCAAAGTGTCTCATGATTGTGCATTAGTGACATTATCTTTAAAACGAAAGGCAGAAACTAAATGTCTTGTGACCATTGTTATTGTTTAAGCTACCATTGTTTTGTGCTTAAATAGCCACAAGAGGGGACCCCAAATGCCCAGAATTAACTTCTAGAGGGCAAGCCCCTTGTGATACAGGCTTCCCCCACCAGAAGAGTGTTCTAGAAACCCGTCTGTATCAGTGTACCGGCTAGCATGTTGTAAGAGGTTCAGTGAATTGTTTTGGAAAACTCAAAGCATTTGCCCATTTCATGATGGGTGATTTACAAGCTCACCTGTTCACACCGCGCTGAGTGTCCAGCAGTTTTTGACTAAAATAACAGCATGATACCCATGCCCCACCCTCCCTACGCACCCAATCACACCCTGAGCAACTGTTTTTTTTGTTTCCCAGGACGAAAGAAGTCCTCAAAGGGAAGGTTTTGCTGATGTGGAAGAGGTGAAACAAAAAACAGCAGAAGCACTATAAGACATCAAAACCAGTGAGTTCAAAAACTCTTTTGAGCAGTGGAAAAAATGTTTTGATGGGTGTATTGCATCAAATGAAGGGTACTTTGAAGGTGACTGAGGTTAAAACATATAAGAATAAATATACAGTTGTTTACAAATAAATTCCAGCTTTGGTGGGGCTCCTGCTCATACATTTGTCTATTATATTAAGGAAAGTGTATTTTTAAACATTTCTCCCAGCACTTGCCTTACAGGTAGGCAGGCCTCCAGACTATGACTATTTTCTTAATCTTTGACTATAAGCTACGTGACAACCAAAGCAATTGAAAGCCTATACCTACATCTCTGGACTCTATGATTCAATACCTAAACATGTTTACTGTTAACTGTCAGTATCATATGGACGGCCACATTCCCAGCCACTGCTTCAGAAACTTATTAGGCAGGGACATACATTTCATTTACCATCCCCAGACCCAGTGGTACGTGGATCCACTTGCCCATAGGGAAGAAACTGGAATCTCTCTGGTGGAGGCCAGGGTCATTAAATGAACTGAGAACTTGGTTTTTGATCACTAGAGCTGGGCAAGATGCTTAAGCTATTATGTCTTTAAGCAGAATGACCCTGCTTTATTCAAGCTGAGGTAAATATTAATGCAAACAACAACAGTAATTCACCTTCTTGTGAGAATTTTGCTTTTGGGATGAATATGGATATTTTCATTCCATTCAGAAAGTACACTCTTAAATATTTCCTTACTCTGGTCAATATTGCCCCTTCCTTTAAAACTAACTTTTCAAAAAAACAAATAAATCCTATTTTAATTTCCTTACATTTCTTTACAAAATGTTTGCTATCAATCTGTAATGAATATTCGGCACTTTGCTATAACCATGTGCAGAGAGACTGGGCTGTTCAAAATATTTTACACAATTCTGAACCTTAAAAAATCTATTTTCCAAGATTTGGAGAAGAGTAAAGCTAGATTTCCTTTCCTAATAGCCATGTTCGACGCTTGTTTTATTACCAAATAAATACTTTTTAAAATTAATGGTTTGAATTCCAAAATATACTTTTGAAAATCCAAAGTTTTTTATGAGAATAGGAAAGTTGCTGTACATACCTCCCAAAAACCCATTTCTCATCTATTTTATTCTATATTTCGTGAGTTACCATTTTAAAGGACACCAGACATAAGGATTTTATTTTGATCATTATATTGAGATCCTAATTTTACCCTAATTTAATTTTAAATAATCCCAAACAATCCAAAATAATGTATTATTACCACATAAACCAGCATTTCAATCTAAGTTATAGGCTATTATACGTTATCAATACTTTCCAATTAAAATGTATTCATAAATACATAAGTAAAACATAAAATTTTTGTAGGTATTATTATGCAATAAAGCACTTTTCAAAAAGAAATGATATACCAGACCCAGTACCAAACATTGCATGAAAAGACTTGATTATTTTTGTATTTAATAACAAAAAAATAAAGTAAATCTAATAATTGCTTATATTGTTATAGCTTTTACAAGGGTATGTGAATTAAGAATTTGTTATGTCATCTATGTGACCATTTTTTAATCTGTTTTACTCCAAGTGTAAATAATAATTCACACTAATAAGTTACTATTTTAAAATTTTTCCATGATCAATTACTTTGACCCTGCTATAATCAAAAGGGCTGTCTCTAAACCAGAGGTCAAACTAAATATTTCTATAGTTTAAGACTCCTATTTTGAAGCACAAATATATGTGGCAGTTTTTGTAGCTTGATGTTAATTCAGATGGGTGCTACATTTCAGATGCACTGATTTATTATTTCTTAGATGTGTCAAAAAAGAAAAACTAAACTAAATGGAGCCACTTAAAAATGAAGCCAGAGCTACCATGCCAGAGAAACTTCCTTGCATGTATTACACCTCAAACCTGTGAAATATGAAAAAAGGGCAAAATAACCTTTGGACTGAGCCTAAAGCAACATTTTTCCCCAAAGAACTGGTTGCAAAGATAACAAGCAAGCAGTTATTGTGACTACAGGATTGAACATTTAAAACTTCATTTAAAATTAGCATCCATATGTTATGTTTCTGTACCAATAGAAATGCCTTCCTTCTATTGATCTAATTGTCCCTCTTCCCCTTCTCAGAAATACCCCTGCCTGTGTAGCCTAACTGGAACACCATTTGGGTTTTTGCCTAAAATCAGTGCATCCCAAAGAGCTATTCTTTGATCTCAAATAAATGTGTATTGTCATTCACTTCGAAAGGCCTTTTTTTTTTTTTTTTTTTTGGTTAACAAATGAAAGAAGGCAACAGGTCAATTCCCCTTCCCAGTAGAGTAATAATTGTACATTGGTGTTATGGTGTTTATTCTAACCAAGATTACTAATAGCAATGTAAACAGTTCTACCTTTACCCAAAGGATGTATAGTTCAAGTGGCATATTTTAATGAAAATTTAACTCCTTTCCCTGGCTGGTGTGGCTCAGTTGGTTGGAGCTTCTTCCCACGGACTAAAAGGTCCGTGGGTTTGATTCCCGATCAGTGCACAAGCCTAGGTTGTGGGATGGTCCTGGCGTAAGAGAGACAACAGAGTTGTTTCTCTTTACATCCCTGTTTCCCTCTCTCTCTCTCCCTCCTCTCTGCTATCTAAGCATGCCCTCAGGTGAGGATAACAAAATAAAATAAAAGTTGAACTGCTTTATTAGGTATAACCCGCAGCACATAGTGTTTAAAAAATACTGCTTCTCTAGAGCTGGAATTGGCAAACTTTCTATAAAGGTCCAGATAGTAAATATTTTAGGCTTTACAATATAGTTTCTGTTGCCTTTACTCAACTCTGCTCTTACTGCAGAAAAGCCGTCACAGACACAGGTAAACGAACGTCCATAGCTATGTTTCAATAAAACCTTATTTATGGACACTGAAATTTGAACCTCAAATAATTCTGTGTCACAAAATAGTATTCTTTTGAATCTTCCCAACTGTTTAAAAATGTGAAATATATTTTTAGCTCTCAGGCCCTACAAGAACAGGCTTCAGGCTGAATTTGCCCCCACCCTTATTCAGCAGTGAAACCATCCCTCCCTCCTTAAAGCTTACCATTACAAAACAAATGCATTGTACTAGTCATTGCGAGAAAATATGAAAACTGAAGAAAGACAATTTACCGAGGGATGACCAAGGTGTGAAGGAGCAAGTCCTCATCCAGGATGCCCATCCGCCCTGCTCTTGCAGGCCACCTCATCCTGGCACCCACCGCCATCAGCAGTGAATGAAGGGTAACCAAACCCGGCCCGCAGCCCTGCCATGAGCAGGGCACCCATCTGGGTAAGAGCATTTACTTGCTGGGTATGTTTCATCATCCATCAACTCACCACTACCCGCTGTTTCTCTGCTGTGGGACTGAAAGCCAACTTTTCATCCCCCATCCACTGTGCTTGGATCCAGCTTCCCTGACTGCTAACGGCCTAGAAGAATCTAGGCTCTGTGCTCTGCCTACACAAAGGCGGTTGGGGAGGAGTGCCCAGCTCCCTCGGGGCACAGCCAAGGCCTACAGGATCACTACTCTGGCACTTCAATTCACCAACTTATTTTGGTTGGGGACAGTACCCTGCCATGAAACATGTTGGAAAAGAGTATTTTTTTGCCCAGTCTGGAAAATTTGGGCCTTTACAACAGACAGGAAGGATCGAAGTAAGGAAATTCAGAATTACCACTGTTAAACTGCACACGTAATCAGCTGAGGAAAAGCTGGCCTAGCTGCCGAGACCTACCAAACCCCCAGGAGCTGAATCATAAAGTGCAGCGTAAAGAGTGTGCAAGTGGCTTTTACTTTTTTAAAGGACATTTGTACAAAGGCACAAGTAGAGAACATCAAGTCTGGGCAAACGCTTCCCAGAGTCCCGTTAAGAGAAAAGCGCCGTGGGCCTTGGCGGTTTTCTCTGAGAAAACAGCCCCGAAGTAAGGCTCCCGCGTACACCCACAGTCCAGGGCCTTCCTTTGGGGAAGCGTGGTGGGATGCTTCGTATTCTCCCTGAGACCTGAGGGATATCCAGCAAGCTGCAAGGACTGAAACACGATGCCTACAGTTAAAAACACTTCCCAAGGTCTTAGAGCCTCGTCCAGGAGTCAGGAGCCTTTTTCTTGGAGAAAACTACTGCTCAGAGTCTCGAGGATTTCTTTCCATTCTGACGCTGGGTTAGCAGTCAAGAGGCCGCCTACGAAAGCCTAAGCGACGAGAACACGGGCCGGAGATTGGGTGCTTTGCCCGGGCTCACAGGGCTTGCTGCAGGATCTGCCTGGGTAAGACTTTACGATGGAACGGCTCCCTCCCTTCCTTCCACGATTCCTTCACTCCAGGTGGACAAGGTTCAGCAAGGCACCCAGAAAAGTCACCTGGCGCAGCTCCCTTCCCACCGTCCCTCGAAGCGCTCTCGGACCACACGGGGCCGGGGGCTGCGCGGACAGCTCAGAGAGCGTCAGCGGGGCGCGCGTAGCGCAGCGTGTAGTTGGCCCCCGCGTTGTTGTCCCAGTACTCGCCTTGGGAGCAGCGGTAGCAGACTGCAAAGTGGACGGCGACATGTGGCTCGTTCATCTCCTCTCCCTCCTTGGGCTGCAGACCCGGGGGCAGACATAGAGAGAAGTGGAAGCGCTCGGCGCACTGCTCCTCCTCGGCACTCCCGGACCCAGGTTCCCCCGTTGGCGCCTCCTGCCGCTCTAACTCCACTGGCTCAGGCTGCAGTTCCGCGGACACGTCCAGGAAAGAGCGCCATTCGGTGAAAGTGTAGCGCACGGCCACGGTCCTCGGCCCGGGGCAGCCCAGCACCCGGCCAGAGCCCGTCACCTCCGCGCCCCAAGGCGCAGAGCAATGCACGCGCTCCAGGCACACGCGCTGCCGCCGGAGACGCTCGGCCGCTGCGCCCGGCCCGGGAAGCTCGAAGAGAGGACGGAGCCGTGGAAGCGGCGCGGAAAGGGGCGCGGCAGCCGCGGCCAGCAGGCCAGGAAGCTGTTGCAAGTCCTCCGCACTCATGGGGAAGCTCCGGAGGCGGGAGAGCACGGTTGGAGGCACCTGCGGCTCCTCGGCCTCGCTGAAATGCTTAATGCTGGCCAGGCTCAGCCCCAGCGCGTCCGCGAACTGCACCCGCTTCTTGCACTTGGCACAGCAGCCACCCGGGCTGTGCGGCGCGTCCTCGGCCCTCTCGCTGCCCTCTGCGCCCAGCTCCAGGGCAAGCTGCTGTCGCTGCTGCAGGAACTTGGCCGCCTGCAAGATCGGGTCGGCGGGCAGCGAGAAGGAGCGCGCGCGGCGGCGGCGGCGGCATTCCAGCAGCTCCTCCTGCTCCCGGAGGGCAGCCTCCTCCTCCGCGGACCAGGACTCGGCGTCGAGGCTCCGGGACTCCTCTGTGCTGCCGCCGTCCCTGCCACCTTCCATGCAGAGGATCGCCGCGGCGGGCAGCTCCTGGGCTGGCGGGGCGTCTCCCAAGGGCGCGGGTCCCTGCTCCTCCAAAGTTAGCAGATGCGCCCCCTGAGGCTCCATGAAGCCGTCTGGCCTCGGGACCTGTCTGCGGAGTGAACCCCCCGCTCAAGACTAATGGAGACTTACTTAACACCTTGGGTCGTTGACAGCGTGCACAGCGCACCCTGGGCTCCTGCTAAGAGCGCAGTTCCCCGTGGGAGCCTCGGGGTTTTAGCGGCGGTTGCCTGGGCGGAGTGGGAGGAGGATGCGGGTCAGGGGCCAGCTCCTGGCCAGGCCACTTAGGGATTGAACCTGCCCGTGACCGGGGACGACCTGGGGCGGGGCGGAGCGGCCGAGGAAACACCTGGAAGCGAGGCGGCGCGGGGCTAGAGCGCGCGGGCGGGGTTTCCGAATACTCAGGCGGAAAGTGGGAGATGGCTTCTGGAAGTTGGGGGGCCGTTTCACCTCCCTCCCATCCCAGCAGGGCCCGTGGCGGTTCTGTCTCCGAAGCTCCTGGATGAACTCGCGCTTAGCTTTCGTTGACACTGGCCTGAGCAGTGTTTCTCCGGCCGGTAAAGTTAGTCCGCAGGTCCTGACCAGTTTGCCCGCCGAGGGGCGCAGAGCGGGCTCCTCTCGGCTGCCGCATCCGCCCAGGAAGTCCGAGGGGCAGGGGCGCAAATGAGGAAAACCCTCCTGCGGGGAAGCTAGGAGGCAGCCGGGCCGGGCAGTTCGAGAGCGTGGAGCGTCTCCCTCTCGTCCTCTCCCTTCCTTCCAAAAACCTCAGGCCTAAAGGGCGCCAATCCCAGTAGGAGGCCTGACCGTGCGGGGCACGCTCGCCCCTCGGCGCTTCCGAACGCCGCTAGGCGGGGGCCTGGGCCGAGTCTGGTGCGGGGACGCGCGGGGGAGCGGAGAGGGCAGCGAGCCCAGAGCTGCCGGAGGCCATTCGCGCGGGGCCCCGGAGCACGTCCCCGCTCCTCCTCTGGTCCCGCCCGCCGCCGCTCCGCTCTCCGCGCGCACCTCCCCCACCGCGGCGGGATACCGGCGCCACAGCCTCCAGCACCTGGTCCTCGTCCGCGGGGAGTCGGGGTCTGACGAGTGCTGGGCCCGCGAGGTCGCCGCCCTGCCGCTCCGAGGCTGTGAGTCCGTCCCGGGCCCTCTGAGGGAATGCGGAACCAGGGGGTTGGGGGGACTTCAAAAGTGGTTTTGTTTTGTTTTGTTTTGTTTTGATCTAAGTCAGTGGTTCTCAAAATTTAGCGCTCATCAGCATCACCGGGAGCGCTTGTGAAAATATTGCCGGGCCCACCCTGGAGTTGAGTCAATGGGCCTGAGGTGGTGCCCCATAGTCTTGTAGTTGACATGCTGATGCTGGGCTCTGGAGACCGAATTTTGGGAACGACTAAAAAACTCTATGTGCACGGCATTCCTTTACTTGTATAAAATGTTGGAAAACACAGAAACACATCCACAATTTCACAAAAAATAAAAAGCAAAGCCCGCCTACACAAGTCACTCAGCGGAGGCACAATAACCTTACAATCTGGTAGAATTTAAAGTGGCCACGGCTTTAGGGATTTTAGGCATTTGGGTGTGGGAGCAGGTAAAAGAGGTAGGTAGTGAGGAGGTAGGTAAGGATCATATTAATGGCTAATACTGATTGAGCGTCCAACGGTTAACTGTGCCGAGGGCTCCCCTTGCATGGTCTTACCCCCAGAACAACCCGGTGAAGTAGGAGTCATATTATCCCTGCTCTACATGTGGAACATAAAAGTGTAGAAAGATATTTTTTCACTGACCAGGTCTTACAGATAGTTTGTGGTGGATTTTGAACCCAGATAATTTAGAGGGAAGATTTCTCCCATGGATACTAAGGCAGGGCTGAGGGTGGTATTCATGAGAAAGGGTCTCTACTGCCCACTTGCTGGGGTCTTGAGGGTATTCCCCTGCCCAGTGTGGAAGGCCAGGATTGCATGTCAACTTTGGGGCTTACAAAAAGCACGAGATGGCATATGGCATGTCTTCCTGGAACAACTCCAAGTTGTTTTTTTTTTTTCTTTCTTTTTTAATGCAGTCATTGGTTGCTTCTTGTATGTGCCCTGACCAGTGATCAAATCTGCCACTTTGGTGTATTCGGTCAGTGCTCTAACCAACTGAGCTACCCCAGCAGGACACAACTCCAGGATTTGAGAAAGAAAACATTGCCTTTACATTAAGTAAACATTGATATGTTATGGAGTTAAATACAAAATTTGCAGACTATTTTAAAGATAAAATAGGACCCCAAAGAGATTTTGAGTTGTGGTGACTCTCTGGCCTACAACCGTCATCATCCCTGAGGGTACCCACCCACTCCAGGAGAGAGGTGACGCATGTAGGAAGCAGACTTTGAGCAGGCACCACTTTCAGGGTCGTGCAGTGCCCTGGTCCCAGCTCTGTCCTGTTCTCCTCTATTTGGTAAAGACATTAGAAGTCTTCACTTTCACGGACCTCTCAATATACAGTGTTGGAGGAAACCACCATTAAACACAAAGTCACGCAAGCAAACTTTGTTGTTCTGACAGATGCCGAAGCCGGAAGGCCAGGGAAGCCTCTGTGAGGAAGGTGAGTAGGAGCGAACAGATAAAACTGCAAGGAAGAACGTTTTAGCCCGTACACAGGCCCTATATGGGAGGGAATGTGGAGGAGTAGGGTTGCCCAAGACCTGTGTGACCCAAGGGCAGAGAGCAAAGAGAAGCTGGCAGAGCTGAGGATGGAGGAGTAGGAAGGGGCCGCTCAGGGCCTTGAAGAATGAAAAGCCATTGAAAGATTTTGAATCACGTGTGTAACTAACCAGATTTAAGTTTTGAAAGATCATCCTGCAAGCAGGATGAAGAGCAGATTGTGGGGGATAGAAAATGTGGGAGAAGCTGTTGGGAGACTATTGCAGTCTTTTGGGTGAGTAAGTGTGATCGTGAGAGGTGGTAATGTTGGGGTGGACAGATCTGAGAGCTTTTTACAAAAGAAAACTAACATTACATGCTAAGGGGCCAGTGGAGGAGAGGGTAGAGAGGTGCCTTTTAGGGTTTGAACATGAGCAGCTGGGTAGAGAGTAGAGGTCCCTGGGGCAAGAAGCAGTAGAAGAGGAAGAGAGGGAATGCAAGAGACTACATTGTATCTGGGGCAGGTCAAGCTTTGTAGGTTCTCTTGGTTTCTTTCTGACCACAACATGGCGACAAGAAGTTGGTTCCAACAATTCAAATCTGACTCTGACCACCTGTAGTTAAGGGGCTACAAGTTAACTCCGGCAAAAATGCCCCCATGTTAGATGCCAGCACAAATGGTACTCAGGCCTCTACACTGGCTCAGGCAACTACAAATGCGGGGGTTTCCACAGCTCTACACTCAGGTTTGATAATCTACCAGACTGGCTCACAGAACTCAGATGAAGGGGGTCAGAATATGCTACCCTCAAATATATCCCTTTGGCATAAGAATTATTTTGAGCTGAAGGCAATTAAGAAACTGCAGACAAAGGAGGAACTCTGTCCTCCCACTTTTTGCCTAAAAGCCTGTCATTAATTTCCCTGTGTAAAAGTAACATAAGTTTCCCTTTGTAAATGTGTCTCCGTCTTTTTCTTTTTTTTAGAAAGAAATATAATTGACATATAACATTAAATTAGTTTTAGGTGTACTACATAATAATTCAATATTTGTATATATTGAACAATGATCACCATAAAAAATCCAATTAACATCCACCACACTTAGATACAATTTTGTTTCTTGTGATGAGAACTTTTTTTTCCAAAGTGAAAATAAATCTTTCTCCCTTTTTTTTTAAATTTTAGAGAGAGAGAGAGAGAGAGACATCAACTTGTTGTTCCACTTATGTATGCATTCACTGATTGCTTCTTATATGTGCCCTGACTGGAGTTCAAACCTGCAACCTTGGTGTATGGGAATGACGCTCTAACGAAATGAACCACTGGGCCAGGGCTGAGAGAACTTTTAAGATCTACTCTTAGTAACTTTCAAACATACAATATAGTAGTATTAACATTAGTTGTCATTCCACACATTATATCCATGATTTATTTATGTTATAATCAGGAATGTGTACCTTTTGACCTCCATCAATTTCATCCTCCCCTTCCCCGACTTCTGGCACGTACCAGTCTGTTCCCTGTATCCATAAATTAAGTGTTGCTTTGTTTGTTTGTTTAGAGTATACATGTAAGTGCTATTGTATGGTATTTGTCCTTCTCTGACTTAATGCACTTAGCATAATGCCCTCAAGTTCCATTATTATTGTCACATATGGCAGGATTTTATTCTTTTTTGTGGTTAATATTCTACTGTATATATGTACTATATTTTCTTTATCAATTCATCTATGGAAGGACACAGGTTACATCAACATGTTGGCTATTGTAAAGGATGTTGTAATGAACATATGGATGTATGTCTTTTTTAAATTATATTTTATTGATTATGCTGTTACAGTTGTCCTGATTTTTCCCCCTTTGCCCCCTCCACCCAGCACCCCTCACTCCCTCAGGCAGTCCCCACACTAGTCCCCACTGTAGTTCATGTCCATGGGTCATGCATGTAAGTTCCTTGGCTACTCCATTTCCTATATTGTACTTTCCATCCCCATGGCTACTCCGTAACTACCTGTTTGTACTTCTTAATTGCCTCACCTCTTCAGCCATTTCCCCATGCCCCCTTCCCATCTGTCATGTCTTTTTGAATTAGTGTTTTGTTTCTTTGGATAAATACCCAAAAGTGGAATTACTGGGTCCTTCTTTGTCTCCTGTTACAGCCTTTGTTTTAAAGTCTATTTATCTGATATAAGTATTGCTACCCCAACTTCTTTTCCGTGAAACCTCTTTTTCCATCATTTTACTTTCAATCTGTGTATGTCTTTTGACCTGAAATCAGTCTCTTCTAGGTAGCATGTTTATTCAGCTACCCTAGGTCTTTCAATTGGAACATTAATCCATTTACTTCATATACTCCACTATTTATATACATCTTTATCCATTCATCCATTGATGGAAGCTTAGGTTACTCCCATGTCTTGGTTATTGTAAATAATTCTGCAATGAACATGGAACTCATGTATCTTTTGAGTTAGTGTTTTAGTCTCCTTTTAATCAATACCCAGAGGTGGAATTGATGAATCATATGGTAATTCTATTTTTAATTTTTTGAGACATCTTCACCAATTTATATTCCCACCAACAGTTCACAAGTGTT